TTAATGAAAAGTTTGTAAAGAAGGATAGGTTAGGAATTTCCAAGGATTCCAGCACTCAACCTTTGAACAATGTTAGGAGTTAGGTAATTCAATACCTTTTGGCATATCCTGGTATAAAAGTTAGGAGAGTCGTTACCCAAGAAGTCATGCTATATCTCCGCGAGATACATATTTGCCCTTTTGTTATGTATTAGAGGAGATGTTTGGCCCGTATAGTGTCTTATGGCATCAATATTGTATATTTAATGTAAAGATTATTCAAGAGATCAGTAGCTTGGTAATTGAAGAAAGTTATTGCCCACAAATAATTCTGTGCTTAACATTTTCGAGGAACGCCATAAGGTGTTTCCAAGGCCAGTTGCAAACTTTTACAGATTTCCAATCAAAAGTAAATAGAGAGACAATTTTTCAATATTTCTCAACACTTTTTTATGTTTGCTTTTCTTGGTGTGAATTTTTTTGTTTCCTAATGATAATGATGGAAAAAAGTTTTTTGGGCTTTTTTTATTATTTTCTGTTGTTTTGGGAAGTGCTTTTCAAGTTGTATTTATAATTTTCAATGGGTTTTTTGAGTTCCCTTTTTTTATTGTGAAGATATAAGAGTTTTATATATCGTATACTGGACTTAATAAATATTGATTTTGCCTATATTTCCTTTTTCTCACTTTCTTGAATAGTATCCATGACAAACAAATGGTTTTAGTATATTGATGATTCCATTTATTCCTTTTTTTTTTTTTTTGGTTCTTTGTGCTTTAAATTTCACATCTAAAAAAACCATCCAAGGTCATGAAGATTTACGCTTATGTTTTAAGCATTTATAGTTTTAGTTCTTATATTTCGACCCATTTTGAGTTCATTTTTATATATTATGAGGTAGGCATCCAATGTCATTCTTTTGTGTATAGATGTAAAAAAAAAGATCAGAAAAGACATACTGATAGAATGATAAATACAGCACAGGAAACTTTGGGTGATGGGTAAAATAGAATAAATAATCCCACTGGAGAAGCTAAAGATATCACAATTTCACTATTCTGTTGAAAGATGGTCAATTAAAACATGACTCACAATTAGTGATTTTAAACTAATTTTTGTAGAATTTCTGATATTATAAATGTGATATAAGCATAACTCACATCCTTTTCAGGTACACAAGGAAAATTTCCCATGCTGGATCATAAATTGAGTTTCAATAAATATCTAAAAATTGAAATCATATACTATCTATTCTCTCACCACAAAAGAATTATGTTAAAATATCAATAACAAGTAGGTATTAAGAATATTTCCCCAAATATTTGAAATTTGAACAGTAGAGTTATGAATAACCAGTGGCCTAAGAAGAAATAACAAGATGAGAAAATAAATAAACACCCTATCAAAATTATTGGACGCAGCCTCACCAATACCTGAAGGGAAATTTTTAACTTTAAATGCCTATGTTTAAAAAAAGGAAGAAAAGTATAAAGTCAATAATCTAAGCTTGATCTTGAGAAGCTAAAACAAAGTAGATAAAATAAAACCCACAGTAAGCAGAAGGATGGAAAAATGTGAAAATAGAAATCAATGAAATAGGCCAGGCAGGGTGGCTCATGCCTATAATCCTAGCACTCTGGGAGGCCAAGGTGGGAGGATCGCTTAAGGTCAGGAGTTCAAGACCAGCCTGAGCAAGAGTGAGACCCCATCTCTACTAAAAATAGAAATAAATTAGCTGGACAACTAAAAGTATATAGAAAAAAATTAGCTAGGCATGGTGGCGCATGCATGTAGTTCCAGTTACTCGGGAGGCTGAGGCAGAAGGATTGCTTGAGCCCAGGAGTTTGAGGTTGTGGTGAGCTAGCCTGATGCCATGGCACTCTAGCCCAGGCAAATACGCAACTACTAGCTGTCCTCAAACAAACAAGAAAGAAAGAAAGAAGGACGAGAATGGTAGAGCTGCGATGTGAGTGCGAGGCAGGGAGGAGACGATCGGAAGGAAATCAATGAAAAAAAACCTAGTCAGGAGCTAACAGTCAGACTCTCAGCAAAAACTTTACAAGCAAGAAGGGATGAGGGATCTTAGTTGTAGACTTCTCTAAGACAAAATAACTGGTCAGCCAGAATTTTATATCCTACAAAACTATTGTGTCAATGAATGAAGCAAAACCATAACAGCCTTTCCAGAACACGCAAATCCTGAGGAATTTCTCCACCCTCATGAGACCAGCCTCAAGAAATGCTCAAAAACAGCAGAACATAAATCCAGACTCACCAATATGCAAAACACTCACACTAATAAAATTCCAGACTATAAAGCAGTAAACACCAATGACAGACATACAAACCAACCCTATTACCAACAAGCATGAAGCATGACCGAGTATATCACATACAATATAACTTATATTTAACTGTCGTACAAGCCCCAACCTCTTATAAACGACCTATAGATACACTGGCCGAATAGTCTATAAAAGCACAGCTCCACAATACTACTGCCCTCAAGGCATGCCACTACACCTTATAACAGATTCTCACTCTAAAATCAAGATAAAGCGAGTGGAAATAAAAACAGCAAATGGAAACAAAAAGCAAAGAGCTTTCATATACAGAAAACAGACCTAAATCATACACTAGTAACCAAAACACAAAATAGCCACAGGTCACATTACCATAATCAATATAATGATCTATTGGAACAATAATCATTACAACATCATAGAATCCATCTAGCCCTTAACCACCCACGAATTGTCCCAAATCATGCAAACCAAGATAGCTAGCTACGACATAATAAAGTATTAATTGCAAGTAAATATAGACCGTCGAGCTCTCAACTCAACCTTACACACCTACAGATAAATCATCACCTATGCTGAAATCAACAAATAAACACTGACTAAACTGGATGGCAGAACAAATGGACTAACAACATTTACATAATTCTATCTCTCCAAAACGTAAATACCGATACCATTCTTCCCACCACATTGCATGGCAACATCTTATCATACAAAGGTTTAACATACATCCCAAATATCTTCAGAAGAAAAGCAAAAAAAGACAATGGAACAAACCAAAGACAAATACCAGAGAACATATTTAAGCATAACAATACAATAATCCACCATTAAATTACTAATGGCAGCACCCCGTCAATTCAAATCAAAGATTATTAGATGCAACATACAACAAGCAAGCACCTAACGTACTCTACCCTATAAACCAGACACACTGAAATTACAATCTCATATCAGGTTACAAAATAAAAGAGAAAAATACACCAAGCTAGAATGAGATGTTATTATCAAGAAACATTTTAAAAAAGAATAACGGTCTATGGGATAACTTATCAAGACAACATAAAATCTAAACTTATATACCTAACAACACCGCTTTAAGTACATCAAACAAAACATGGAACTACAAGGAGAAATAGACAAATACAGCAATTTTATTAGAATAATTCAACTACCCATTCTCTCAATAATTGAGAAAACAAGTAAACAGAAAATAAGGATACAGAAAACTTGAGGCCCGAGCCGGCGCGGGCCGGAGGCAGTGGCCGCCGTGTCCTCGCCCTGGCACAGCCGGGCCCCGGGCCACAAAAAAAAAAATAAAAAATAAAATAAATAAAATAAATAAAAAAAAAAAAAAGAAAGAAAACTTGAACAACAAAATCAACTAGCATGTCATAACTGACTCCAACCGTATACATTTTTTTCAAGAGTGACCATATTTGGGGCATAAAACAAATCTAAATAAAATTAAAACAATTCAAGTCATACAAACTATTTTCTCTGGGCCAGGCACGGCGGATCACACTTGTAATCCTAGCACTCTGGGAGGCCGAGGTGGGCAGATCGTTTGAGCTCAGGAGTTCAAGACCAGCCCGAACAAGAGCGAGACGCCGTCTCTACTAAAAATAGAAAGAAATCAGCTGGACAACTAAAAATATATAGAAAAAATTAGCTGGGCATGGTGGCGCTTGCCTGTAGTCCCAGCTACTTGGGAGGCTGAGGCAGGAAGATCGCTTGAGCCCAGGAGTTTGAGGTTGCTGTGAGCTAGGCTGATGCCATGGCACTCTAGCCCAGGCAAAAGAGTGAGACTCTGTCTCAAAAAAAAAAAAAAGTATGTTCTCTGACCACAGTGAAAAGGCATTAAAAGGGACACACAAAAATAGGATGGTAGGGGTTAACTGTAACAGAAAATTTAACATAACTTAGCCTGACATACGCCCAAGTATAAGTGTGCAGTGAGTGTTGTGCAATACTATACCTAGTATTATGACATGCCAAATATTTGTCTCCCTAAACCTCCACTGCTAAAGACTACTTTTCACTCTCGCCCTCAACCCCTGACATTTCAAGCTTACAAATTGAGTGTCTTCTCGCGCACCGCGTCGTGTTCTCTTAGCCGAGGACAGGAAGGCATTTCCTTTCATGTGCTAGTTGGGCGTCTCTTCATAGTTCACTCTTGTCGCTAGCAGTATTAATTTGCAAAAAACCTTTCCAGACTTCTCTGAATGTCAGGTAGCATTGTAGCCTAGTTTCCACTGCGCGTATGCATTTCCTCTAATTTTATATGTTCGCTTTGGTTTGTTTCAGATGGAATTGTTAACAATGAGATAGGGCTAAAGATGGCGTAGCTCAAATCACTTCCTTAAGTCTCAGGTAACGCCCACAGATGTCTTTTCTACATCAGATTGGGTTTGTTGTTTTTTAATTGTCGAAAGGCACGCGCGAAGAGAATAGGTAGGCAATTTCACAGAAAGATGGGGTATTCCGTGGCTCATGACAGACTGGGATATTTGGTTTTCTTTAAATCACCCTCCAAAACATAGTAGAAGAGAATAGAAAAACGGGTTGGCCTCCCGGACCGACGGTATCATGGGTGGTACCGAGAAGAAAGGAATGATAAGACGCGTGGGTGTTAATGAGGGCAGGTATTCGCTGTCCTACGCGAGTTGCCCTGTAATAGAAAGAATGGGAACTGAGGGAGTTTTGGTAGGAAGGTCGATGATTGATGTGGGCGTGGGAAGCTGGAGAAGGTAAAGAGAGAAGAAACTTCGGGGGG